AGCTGATATTTGACAAAGGCCCAAAGTCCGTTAACTGGGGAAAAGACAGTCTCTTTAACAAATGGTGCTGGCATAACTGGATATCCATCTGCAAAACACTGAAACAAGATCCATACCTCACAGCATACACAAAAACTAACTCAAAATGGATTAAAGACTTAAATATAAAATCAAAAGCGATCAAGATCATGGAAGAAAAAACAGGGACAACGCTAGGAGCCCTAATACATGGCATAAACATAATATGAACCATTAAGTAACAATGCACAAGCACCAGAAGAGAGACTAGATAACTGGGAGCTCCTAAAAATCAAACACTTATGCTCATCAAAATACTTCACCAAAAGACTCAAAAGACAACCTACAGACTAGGAAAAAATTTTTGGCTATGACAAATCTGATCAGCGTCTAAACTCTAAAATCTACAAGATAGTGCAAAACCTCAACAACAAAAAGACAAATAACCCAATTAAAAAATGAGCAAAGGATATGAACAGGCACTTCACCAAAGAAGCTATTCAGGCGGCTAACAGACACATGAAGAAATGCTCACCATCATTAGCCATTAGAAAAATGCAGATCAAAACTACAATGAGATATCATCTCATGCCAATAAGGCTAAGATTAATCCAAAAAACAAAATAATAAATGCTGGAGAGGTTGTGGACAGACTGGAATACTTATACACTGCTGGTGGGAATGAAAAATGGTACAACCACTTTGGAAATCGATTTGGCGCTTCCTTAAAAAGCTAGAAATAGAAGTACCATACGATCCAGCTATCCCGCTCCTTGCAAAATATCCTAGAGAAATAAGAACCATCACACGAATAGATATATGCACACCTATGTTCAATGCAGCACTGTTCACAATAGCAGAAAGATGGAAACAATCTAGATGCCCATCAACAGACGAATGGATAAACAAATTATGGTATATCCACACAATGGAATACTACACAATGATAAAGAACAACGATGAAGTCGTGAAAGGTAACATGGAGGAAGCTGGAGGTCATTATGCTGAGTGAACTTAGTCAGTCACAGAAGGACAAATATTGTATAATACCACTATTACAAGAACTCAAGAAAAGGTTTAAACACAGAAGAAAACATTCTTTGATGGTTACGTGGGTGGGGAGGGAAGGTGAGAGTTATTTACTAACTAGATAGTAGATAAGAATTATCTTAGGTGAAGGGAAGGACAGCACACACTACCGGGGAAGTCAGCAAAACTGGACTAAACCAAAGCTAAGAAGTTTCCTGATACAATCAAAACTTTGAGGGACAGAGTAGCAGGGGT